TAGGGTCATTGTGTAGCCCTTCTTAGAAGGAAAAGGCTTATTGCAAGGTCCGTATGGCTCACCGGGTAGTCGGCCACACGACACACATCGAGTATTCTCAGCAGCCAGGTGTCTCACCTCTCTGGCTTGTGTGGATCCTCCTCGGAACTCGGCCGGAGGCCGGACCCGTAGCCGGACGGCGATGTGTAAGACGAGATAAGTACAAGCGGGCGAGCTGGTGCGTGGTGGGTGTGGTGCGACTACTTTCTTCACCGTCCGTGTCGTGTGCTATCTTCACCGTCCGTGTCGTGTGCTATATCATCGGCTGAAATCTGTGAAATGCGTACTATCTGATAGCTGCGTTTATTGTGCGCCCGGTCTCTCGCTGCGCTGTGAGAGCGGTGGAAATATATATATCCTTGCGTTTGTGTGTGCGCAAGCAGCGAAAACCGAAATCAATACCCCATCCCCACGTCGACGGGCGTCGCGAGCGGCTCGCCGCGCCCGACGCGCTCGAGGTTGTCCCGCCACACGCGCCAGCCCAGGCGAAAGTAGTCCGCAGTGTAGTCGGCATTGTGTGCGGTCAGCAGGAGCTTCGAGTCTGGCTGCTCCCAGAGCGGCGAGTCGGCAGGCAGCGGCTCTGTCTCGAAGACGTCCAACGCGGCGCCGCCGAGCCGCGGCAGCGCCGCCACCAGCGCGCTCTCGTCGACGGCGATGCCGCGCCCGACCGAGACGAAAGTGGCTCCGCCCTTCATGGCGTCAAACTCGGCGCTCGACAGGAAGTGGCGCGTCTCCTCGGTCCCGGGCAGGGTGCAGACGACGACGTCGCTCTGTTCGAGCATCGGCCGTGTGAGGAAAGGGAGGGGAGGCCGTGTCCCGGACGCGTCTCGGAAGTGTTCAGGGAAGCGACCTGCTCGAGCAGCGCCCGCTTGTGCGCGGGGAGGATGGGCCCCTCATACGGCCCTAACACGAGGTCGGCCAGCCCGGTCTCGTCGGGCTTGCTCGCGTTGCGCCTGTGACCACCGGATCCGAGTCTGCCACCATCGTCCAACTTGTGAGCTCCCTTTCGTTGGAGGAGCTCGAGAGCGCAGAGTTTCATCACTCGGCGCATCCTGAACCCGCCCTGGGCTCTGGGCTCGGGCTCGGGTCGGGGCTGGGTGGTCAGCGGGAGGGTCCAACCCCTTGCGCTCTCTTCACACGGGGGCTCTCACAGCAGACTCTGCGAGATGACGGGGCCGACTACAGTGTACAGCGGGGAGGAGCGGGTGGGTTGACGAGGCCTCAGGCAGACGACTCGCATCCCAAAGGCCTTGCCGAGCCGGGCGACGTGCTGCGCGATGTCGCCGAACCCAAGCAGTCCGAGGGTCTGCCCACGGAGCACGGACATCTCGAACTTGTCCCACCTCCGCTCGCGCCGGTTCTGCTGGCACCGAGCCACCTGCTTGTTGAAGTGCAGCGCCGCCATCAGCGCGTACTCGGCCAGCGAGGACGAGAAGGCGCCGCGCCCGTTGCTCAGCGGGATGCCCGCCGGCAGCAGCACCTCGCGCGCAATCGCCGCGATTGGGTCGACTCCCGCGTAGAAGCCGTGACACCAACGCACGGCTGGCGCGTGGCCTTCCACGAGGAGAGCGCGTAGGACTGGCGGCGGCGTCGGCGGCACCCACAGCAGCGCCTCCGCCCGCCGCAGCTTGTCGCCGTGCGCGAGCAGGCTCTCGAGGTCGTGGCCGATCAGCAGCTCGGCCGCGTCCAGCGGGGCGTGCGCGAGCGCCGGGTTGTCGGCGGAAGAGAGAACGACGACGCTCGGCGGAGGAGCGCCGCCCGTGCACACGCGACGACGTCTTAGGGCGTGCGTCTCTCCAGTACGGCTGAGGAACGAGTGCGCTCCAGCAGGACTGAGCAACGACGAGCGTACGCGACACGGCGGCATGCTGTGGCGGTGGGAGCGAGGGTGGGGCAGCGCTCGGAAGCCAGGCTCCACGGGAATGCTCTCGCGCTTGGGCTCGGCCAGGTTTGCCTCGCAGCTGTTTTTTTTTTGTTTTCCTTTTTTAATTTCTCTCTTTTCCTCTCTCTTTTCCCGGGAAAATGGAGCTCGGCTAGGGTTGCGCAGCGACAGGAGCGAGTTCGCGCTGCGCTAGGCTCAGACGGCGAGTTCGCGCTGCGCTAGGCTCAGTACGGCGGCGAGTACCGAGTTCGCGCTGACCGCTGTGCGGCCTGGCTCTCCTCTTGCGAAGATTTTATCTCTCGGCTGCGTTGGCTCGCCAAAGTCTTGTTGTTCTCGATGGCTGCTCGATGGCGCTGACTTGGGAGTGTGTGTTTTCGTAGAGAAGGAAACACGCACGTCGTCCGGGTTCTGTCGAGCGTGCGGGCCGCCGGGCGGTTAGGGCGGAGGCCAGGGCGCCAGGCTTGCGAGAGGGCGAGAGCTAGTGCGAGAGTTAAACACACGACACACACACGACACGACAGGGACACAGACACATCCACACACACACACACACACACACACACACACACACACACACACACACACACACACACACACACACACACACACTGCGCTCCCCTCAGCTCCCGCGCGGGCAGGGAGACGCGAGCCCGACGCAGTCCGGTGGTGGGGGCCCACGCGGCCAGCCCCTGCGTTGCAAAGGTTGGTGCTGAGCCGCCGCCGCCGCTCGCTCTCGAAAAGCGTCGCGCTGCTGCCCGTTCCCGGAGTTTGGTGGCCAGGGCCTCGCCTGAAGGAGCGGCCGGAGCGCGGCGAAAGACCGACGGGAAGTGGCCGCCGCATGCAGCCTCCGCGGAGGCTGCATGCGGCGGCCGCATCCTGGCGCTGCGCGCGACCGGCCCCTCTCGGTGTGCTCTGCGGAACGGCCTCGCTCGAACGCGCGCCTGCCGGGTCGGGGCGGTCACGGGACCGGCTGAAATTGCGGCCGCAGCTGCTTGGGGGGGTGAGGATGGCCGGGCTTGAACGGCTTCTCGCGAGCTACCCGCATCCCGACGCAGCAGCGATTTGGCATTCTATATCTTTCGCGGCCATCGCCGAGCGCAGGCGAGGCTTGGGAGTCTGGCGTAAATTTCTTTTTACTCGCGCCCCCGCCCGCGCCGAGCCAAAGGAGCTCCGCGGAGCCGCCAGGCGCCCACCCCGGCGATTCGCTCGCTACGCGTCGCTCACCGCCGGGGCGGGCGCCTGGCGGCGCCGCTGCGCAAAAACTCCGTGGAAATCGTCAAATTTTGGGCCCCCGGGGCTCTGAGCCGAGTCTGAGGCTGGTTTGGGCCCAAAATCAGCCAAATTTTAGGCCAAATCGGCAAAATGCCGGGAATTTTGCGGAGAACCCGTGCATGCATGTACCTGGAATTTACCCTGCGACCGGCTGGGTATTTTGTCGATTTCCTCAATTTTGAGACGCTCTCAGACTCAGGGAACAGCGAGTTTCCAGAATGGAGCACCAAACACCCTCCCTCTGTTTTCCTTGGAAATTTCCGGAAACGCAAAGTACTGGGGACCCTGTGTTTTCCTTTTTGTTTTCCGGAAAACCTGGCCGAGCCCAACCTTCGCCGCGTTGGGTAGCGAGGATTGGAGGGGAGAGAAAGAAGATGTTGAAGCCGCCGGCCAAAGCCCGTCCAAGGTCCCAGCGCAAGCGCCGCCTCCGGCACGTCGCACGTGAGCCTTGGTTGGCGGCCGCCGCTGGCAGGGCCAAGCCGTGCCCAACAGTCCAGACGCGGCTTCGAGGGGAACGTCCCCCCGCAAGGCGATCACTGGCCCCCCTGGTCAATCTTCCAGTTACGATCAGCTCCTCGAAGGCTCTTCCGTAACGCTTTTCCGGCAACAATGTTCGGCGGCCCGGCAAACGGTGGCGCCCAGCCGGCGGGTGGCATGTTCGGAGCTGCCGGTGGCGCCAACGCTGGCGCGCATGGCGCTGCTTCTAACGGCATGTTTGGAGCGGGCGGTCTTGGTGGTGGAATGTTTGGTGGCGCCACAGGCAGCGCAAACGGCCAAGCGGCTGCCGGAGGCACGGCCCCAAACCCCGGTGGCAACCCCGGAGCCTCTGCAGGGATGTTCGGGCAAAAGGGAGGCTCGATGTTCGGCGGTGCTCCTGCCGGGGGCGGCATGTTTGGCGGCGGCTTGGCGGGCGGATCGAGCGCAGCAGGCGAGGTGCAGGGCCGCAACTGCCGCTTCCTGCAGGGGCCGCGGACGGAGCCGCAGTCGGTGGCGGTGATCCAGGACACGCTCCGGCGCGGTGTCGACTGCCACGTCAAGATCACAAACTACCGCAAGTCGGGCGAGAACTTCCAAAACCTGCTCACGATGCGGCCGGTTCACGACTCGAACGGCGTCTACCGCTACTGCATCGGCGTGCAGTTCGAGATCACGCCCAACGACCCGAAGCTCAAGAGCCGGCTCGCCAAGCTCGACAAGCTGATTCAGCTGCTGCCCAAGACCTTCGACGTCTCCAGCAGGGCCGTCGGCGTCAACCACCGGGTGGAGGAGGCGCAAGCGGAGAAGGAGCAGAGCACCGAGCAGAAGCTAATGGGCGCGCTCGAGGGCAGCGCGGAGGTGTACTCGGAGGAGAAGCTGGAGGACGGCGATCACTACGCTGACCACTACAAGGACCACCTCGCTCACTGCTCAAAGGTCTCGAACCTTAAGCGGGACGAGCAGCTCGACCAGATGGCGAAAAAGCTCGGGCTCAGTCCGCCAAACCCGGGCCCGTGGCTGGCCATGTTTACCCAGATCGCCGACCGGCTCGACGTGGCGATCGTCGTCACAGATATGAAGACGCCGGGCCTTCCCGTGACTTACGTCAACAAGGCGTGCACCAAGCTGACGGGCTACACCCAGGACGACTTTGTTGGGCGCAACTGCCGGTTCCTGCAGGGCCGTCGCACCGAAGGGGCTGCCGTGCGCGCGATGACGACGGCGATCCGCAAGGCCGATGACCTCACCATCAAGGTGACCAACTATCGAAAGGACAAGACCGAATTTGTGCTCGTGCTCGCCCTCCACCCGGTCCACGACACCTCGGGCGAGTACCGCTACCAGATTGGCATCCAGTGCGACGCCTCCCGCTGGTCGAGCGAGCAGGCCCTGTTTGAGAAGGTCCGCAAGGCGCTGCCGACCCACTTTGAGTCCTCGGCGCAGCAGACCAAGTACGACGAGTCTCTCACCAAGGTCGACACCAAGGCGCAGCGCAAGCAGTGGGCCGACTCGCTCAAGAAGTTCACGCGCCTCGTCTGGTCGATGGATTGGGACACCACGCTGAAGCAGTTCATGGACGAGCAGCAGGCGCTGCAAGCGTTTTACGGCTACCTCTCCAAGACCTCGCCCAACGAGGCTCTGCAGTTGGAGATGTGCATGAACGCCAAGCAGTTGGAGGCGTTGCCCGAGGAGCAGGCCGCCGCGGCGGCGATTCAGATGTGTGCAAACTATCTCGGCATCCAGGCGGCGAGCGGGGAGGCTGCCCTCGGCTCGCTCAACAATCAGGTCGAGCAGTCGATGACGGCACTCGCGCTCGAGGCCCTCCCCAAGTTTGTGCAGTCCAAGGCGTGCATCCCCATCTTGGAGAAGATGCTTGAGGGAAGCGACGACAACATGAAGCGAGCAGACGATCTGCTGTGGGCCGACTACAAGGTGCCTGACGACGTGGCCGGCTGGCTGCACTCCTTCGTGAGCGTCGCCATGACGTACCCCGCGTGCATCGTCATCAGCGACATGACCATCCCCGGCAACCCGATGTGCTTTGTCAACAGCGAGTTTTGCCGCGTGACGGGCTACGACCTGCGGGAGGTGCAGGGCCGCAACTGCCGCTTCCTGCAGGGGCCGCGGACGGAGCCGCAGTCGGTGGCGGTGATCCAGGACACGCTCCGGCGCGGCGCGGACTGCCACGTCAAGATCACAAACTACCGCAAGTCGGGCGAGCTCTTTGAGAACTTGCTCACGATGCGGCCGGTTCACGACTCGAACGGCGTCTACCGCTACTGCATCGGCGTGCAGTTCGAGATCACGCCCAACGACCCGAAGCTCAAGAGCCGGCTCGCCAAGCTCGACAAGCTGATTCAGCTGCTGCCTAAGACCTTCGAAGTCTCCAGCCAAGCCGTGGGGATGACGCACAAGCGTGACGAGCCCGAGGCGGAGAAGGGCAACACCGAGGCCCGGATCATGGCGGCTCTCGAGGGGGCAAAGAGCGTGTACTCGGAGGAGACGCTGGAGGACGGCGACTTTTACGCTGACCACTACAAGGAACACCTTGAGCACTGCTCCAAGGTTGCTCAGGTTGGCCATGCCATTAGCCACGCCGCACCGGAGAAGAAGCCGGGGCAGCAATCTGGCGGCGGCGGCAAGCCAGGGCTGGCTCCGAAAAAGAGCACGGGCCTCGGCCTCTTCGCCTCGCCGCGGGTCGCTCCAAAGGCTTGAGCGGTGATGCCCTGTGGGTGGCCGGTACTCAAGGTCTGAACAGTGGTGTCGGCGGACGATGCGCACTCGGAGAATCTGCACATAACTGATCTCTGATGAGTTGCTGATGAGTTCGGCTTCGGGCACACACAAAAATGCAGAGCGTGATGTGATTGAACGTTGTTCATTGTGTGTCACTGTCAGGGCGCTCAGGCACAGAGTGTAAGACACCGCGAACACGTAAGTACACTCTCTCTTACACGCTCCACATCCGAGTCGACAACAAAAACGTCTCTCACCTCTCAGCGGCCGCGAACCCCCCCGCGCCCCGGAGCCTAGCTGGACTGACACGCGACCCAGCCAGGGGTCTCAGGGATCAGGAGACCCCCTGAGACACCCCCTGGTCCCTGTCCGCACATGAACGGCGCCTCATCGGGACACCCGCATACGCACCATCCCCACAGGCGCTCACAACACACACACAAAACGACATGCGCGAGATAGTAGGGGTTAGCTCGAGGGGGCTGTCTAGTGCGTGTGCGGGGGAACTTCAGGAATCTATTCCTCGCTCTCGGAGTCGCGGGCCGATTCGACGAGCGACGGGCGAGAGAGCTGGTCCATGCACCACTCCGTTTGCGAGCGGTACACGCTGCCCGACCGAGGGCGCACCGCTGCCGCCGCATCGTCTTGGTTCCGCATCGCCCCCTCGAGGCGGCTGCGAGCGTTTGGTAGGTTCGACTTCTCCCTCTGGCGGCACAGCGCCGCGAATCTGCCACCTGAGGTCGAAGCCGCGTCCTCTTCTCCATCCTCCTCCTCCTCGACGAGGGCGCACCGCGAGCGTGAGAGCGCGATGCGCATCGTAGCCGCCTCCTCCCACTCCGACTCGCTCTGCTTGATCGACGCCCGCCGCGCAAATGAGATGGAGCGCGCGATCGCCTCGTCCATGGCCGCCTGGAGCGAGCCCACGACATGTTAGCACCGGCCCGCGCGGGGCGAGCGTGTCAGAGCGAGGGTAGGTGCGTGGCCGGGGAGAGGCGCGGCGGCACCTTCTCCTCGGTCGCTTGCTCCACCTGCTCTTGCGCGGACGAGAGGGACCGGTCGATCGCGTCGTTGATCGCGGTCTCTTGCTCTGACATCTCCATCGCCGTCTCGAGCTCCTCCCGCTCGGCGCCCTGGATAGAGCAGTGAGGGAGAGGGGGGGTGGGTCGTTCTTTGCACGTCTTCGCGAGTGGCCTCCCCGGGCTGAGTGCACGCCTCATCGTAGCACGACGACGCCAGCGCAACCTCGAGCTCCTGCCGCTCGAGGAAGGTGCGCGCAGCAAAGGCGCGGCGCTGCGCCTGGGCGGAGGGGTGGGCGTTGTCAGGGTGGAGGCGTTGAGCTGGAGCGCAGTGGTGGACCGGGCAGACGGTGAGTAAGAAACACCTCGGCACGGATCGCGAGGTCCTCTCGTGCCGAGTCGCGCTGCGACGAGTCTTGGAGGCGAGAGGAGCGGCTTCGTCGCAGGAAAGCGGGCGTCGAGGACAGGCGGCGTAGCGCGCTGCCGGACGAGCTGCGGGACCACGTGCGAGGCGTTGCCGGCTCGGAGTTTGGGCCCTCAAACGGCTGCTTGACGCGGCGCACGCTCAGCTGCACCGGCCGGGACGAAGCGAGCAGGAGCGCCGACCTCGCGCGCTCGATTGCGCGGTAGCTGCTCGTGACGATTGCCTGCTCGTCAATCTCAAAGATCACATCGCCTGGCAGGAGCTTTGCCGCCGCCGCCATGCCGCCGTGCGAGACGGCGGTGACGATGAACGAGTCGTCGCAAGCAGCGACTGCCATGCCGATGCCGTCGCCCTGCACAATCGGCAGGCCACCCGAGGTGAGGAGGACGGTGAAGTGCGTGCAATAGCACCACTGCCGCCCGTCGGCGACGGTATTGCTGAACGGCTCGACCGGTTGAGCCGGCGGAGGCGTCGCTGCCTCTTCGCCGTCGACGCTGGCCTGGTATGCAGGTGGCGGTGGCAGCGGCGGCTCGTCAGGCGAAGCTGGCCGCTCCAGAAGGGTGTTCGGGTCGAAAAATGAGCCGGTGGACGTGAGCGAGGCGTCGGAGATGAAGCGGTCGCGGCTTGAGGCAAACTGGTGCTCGCGGCTTGAGGCAAACTGGTGCTCGCAACTCTCGGACACCAGTGTGGTGCCCATTGATGCTAGACTGACGACGCGTGGCTCTCGGCGGCCATATAGGGCGCGCTGTGCCACGGCCGCCATCGGCGAGCCCGCGTGCAAAGCAGGCGGTTGAGGAGCGACCAGCTTTTTCGGAAGCAGCTGTTCGGAAGTCCCCCGCAGTTTTTTTTTGCGCTGTGAACGCACCTTCAACACCTGGCATCAACGAGAAAGAAATTTTCCTTCGTTCTTGTTTCGCTGCAGTTTTGTTTTAATTCTGTAACGAACGAAGCGTTGCCGCGCCCCACTTGCCGCCGTCGCGCGATGTCATCCTTTCACCGATCGACGCACGAGGTCGACAGGACGTGGCACTCCAGGACGCTGGGGTACGATCGGGGCGGCGTCCTCCTCAGCCACGACGCAAAGCGGCAGGATCCACCCCCGCTCCCGCCTCCGAGCGCAGTCAGCCTCGCATTCACGGGCGAGCCGGCACCGCCGGACCCCAAGCTGCTTGGCGGCCACCGAGCGCAGAGCGAGGTTGCGCTTCGGGCGCGCCGACAAGGCAGCGATATGGACCTGGCGATGCACGGTGTCAGCAGCGCCGCCAGCCAGACGCTGCGGCACCATGCGCAGAGAAGGGGAGCGGAGATGGCCTCCCTCTTGTCTTTCGAGCCGCCCCCGGCGGCGGCGGCACTTGACGATCCCTTTGCGCACGTTCGCGTCGGAGGCCGCCGCAAGGCTGCGTCGCAGGGGCGCGTGTCGGACCCACTAGCTCTTGCCGTCGCAGATGTTGCGGCTGCTAGCGCCGCAGGTGTCGTGAGGAGTGGGATTGGCGGCGGGGAGGGGACGGGCGGCATCGAGGCGGAGGACGTGGCGATGCAAGCGGCGTACAGCGATCTGATGAGCGCGATTGACGCCGCGGGAGGCGAGTGCTTGGAGCCGGAATACGTGTTCAGATTGCTCGCCATGCATCATCTGAAGCCACACTCGGTCGAGGGTGCAGCCGAGCTCATCGATGCGATACATGCGCGCGGCTCCAAGCTACCCCCTATCGAATTTGCCCGCTGCATGTACCGGAAGGCCGAGCCGAAATCGCAGAACAGACCGCCTCCGGCACTGGCGCCTGCCCCCGCGCCAGCCTGGACCGCATCGGCACCCGCTCCAGCGCCCGCTCCCACACCCGCGGGCCCCAAGTCCATCGTCGAGCTGCGGAAGGCGGCCGGCGGCCTGACCGTCGCCAACGCTGAGCTCGCTCGCCTGCTGAACCCTGAGCGCGGTGAGACCACTCGGCGGCGAGCACGGTAGGAAGGCTCAACGAGGTCGCCCGGAAGCGCGCGCCGCGGCTGCAGAGACGGGAGGCGGCCGGAGGCGGGATAGAGCGCGGGCCGCGCGAAGCAGGCGGGCCTGGCGATCCTCCGGTGCGCCATGTGTGCACGAGAAGTGTTCGTATTCGGTGCGCAACTCTTGGTGTGTATCTGAATCCGTGACTGTGCGTGAGAGTGTGTGAGTGTGCGTCCGGGACGAGGCACGAGCTCGGACGGAGCCTGGGAATTCATTATACAAATGTTTTGGTGAAAAGGAGAGACGGGACTTCACCGCGACGCCGGAGAGAGAGGCGCGGCAACGCGCACACCGGTCTCCCCCGGCACAAGAGACCACCCCACACACATTTGTGTGTGTGATGGACATGGAGGGCGAGCGAGGGCGAGAGAGCAACACGCACACATGCGGGAGGCCAACAAATATCACGACCACATTCTACGAGAGTCATGCGCGACGACATAAGAGAAAGACGCCCCAGCAGCGCCGAGAGTCTACAGATGGCTCCAGCACGCAGAGGAAGCCGCGAGCGCGAGCGAGGGCGCAGGCACACAAGGCGCAGCCGAGGGCCTCTTCGCGGATACACAGAGGTGGCCTGCGAGCGGGTAGCCGTGATACAGATGGGAAGGCAGATGGAAGGCGGGCTGGGAAGGCAGATGGAGAAGCAAAAGAGGAGGCCCCGGCTAGCTCAGCTCCGAGGCGTCGCCGCGTTGCGCGCGAGTCCGCGAGGTGCCCGCCGCAGGGACCCGGCGAGGTTGGCGAGGGCTCGCTTGACACGGACGCGCTTCGGCAGGGTCGCCTCGACAAGCGCCTCCTCCGCCGCCTCGGCGCGCAGCACAGCCGCGTCACGCTGCACCTGCTCACAGCGGGAGGTGTGAAGAGGCGCTCTCCACAGGGCGAGGTCGTGGCACGCGCCGTGCTGCGCCTCGAGCTCGCGCGCTCGCTCCCCGGCGCAGCTCGCCTCGAGGGCGGCGCTCCGCAGCTGCGTCTCCAGCTCGCGCTTTGCGAGCTCCGCTGCCGACAGCTCATTCTTGGACGACGTCCGCGACGCCTCCGCCAGAGCCTCGAGCCGCTCCACCTCGTCTGACTTCTCGCGCAGCGCCCGCTCCATCCGCGCGAGCTGGTCCTGCTGCGATTCGAGCGCGTCGTCGAGGTCTCCGACCCGCTCCGACCAAAACTCCTTCCCCTCGGACAGCATCGCGGCCGCCCTCGCCTCCGCCTCCTCCGCTGCCGCGGCCCGCGCCTTGGCCTCCTCGAGCTCGACGTGAACTTTCGCAATCTCCGCCTGCGCCGCGTGCATGGACGCCTCCATGGTAGCGCGGGCCAGCTCGGCCTCTCGCGCCGCGCCCTCGGACTCCGCAGCGCGAGCGACCGCCGCTTCGCGCGCAGCATTGCTCCTCCTCGCCGCAAGCCTCGCAGCATCGCGCTCGTCCAAAGCTGATGCGATTTGAGAGCGTGCAGCCTCGTCCAGATTTGTGAGCCTGCTCTTGGCCTCGTCAAGCAGGTCTCCGACTGTCGCGCCACGCTTTGCGCTCTCAAGGACGCGCTCGAGGGTGTCACTCACAGCCTGCCGCTCCGCCGCCGCCGTCCTCGTCTCGTCCGCCGTTCGCATGTGCGCCGCACGGCCGGGTGCGGCGGGTCGCCCGGCTGCGAGGAGGAGCAGCAGCATGTGTGTACGTCTCTCTGTATGCTGGACTGCTCAGTCACTGCTGCTCAAAACGGGCGTAAAGCTCGATCGATGTGAGCCGACGTGAAAAAAGAAAAAGAGGCCGCCGCTCGAGGAGACGGAGACGACAGAGGGGGAAGGGGAGGCGAGACGACCGACCTTTTTCCGCAATTCTTTTTCTGATCCCTCCCCCCCCCCCCCCCCACAACAGCAACACTCTCACTCTCACCGGCGGCAGCCCGCTCACCTCCCGTTCGAGCAGACGCACTGCCCCATCAGCGTCGACACGGCCGAGGCGCACACGTCCAGGGTCTCCAAGACCTGCGGGCTCACGCCGAGCCGCGACGCGCGCCGCCTCGCCATCAGCGCCTCGCCGAGAGCGAGCGGCGCCCCCGGCGTCGAGCACGCGGTGCACGCGGCGCCCGCGGCGGCGGCGGCGTCCGCCGCGGCGGCGGCGGCGTCCGCGGCGGCGCCCGCGGCGCCCACCTCCTCGGCGCGCCGTGCCCCCGCGTCGGTCGCCTCCGCCCAGGCGGCCGCCGCCGCGGTCGCCTCCTGCAGCACCTCGTGGAGGTCCGCGCACGCCTCGTCGAGCACCGCCGGGAAGCCCATCAAGTCGCGGGGCCTCTCGGACCAGACGCGCCAGAGATGCACCGCCAGCTCCGTGTGGAGCTCCTGCAGCGGCTGCAGGCCGCCGCGGAGGAGGAGCTCGTGCAGCGTCCGCTCGGGGCACCGGCGCCGCGCCGACCTCCGCAGCGGCGACGCGACGCGCAGGTTGACCCCAAAGTAGGCTTGCAGCACCGCCGTGGCGTTGATCGACGCGGCGGCGAGGGGGAAGCCCGCCCGCGCCGCGGCGGCCAGCGGCACGCGGCCCGAGTTGACCACCGCCAGCAGGTGGTGCAGGCCCATCACGCCCGCGCCGCGAAAGTCCTTGGCCGCCTCCTCGCTCTGAAAGCCGAGGTCCTTCCAGCGCTCCGTCGAGGGCGCAAAGGCGTCCGCGTCCGCGGCGCCAAAGGCGGCCGTCCACAGCGCGCGCAGTAGGTACTCGTGCGCGGCGGGATGGAAGCTCGTGCACGCCGCTTCGCGCATCCGTGAGAAAGTTGACATGAGGTCTTCGAGCTCGCGCTGGTGGCTGCTCAGGCCGTCGGCGTGCGCGCGGGGCGCGGTGTTGGGGTCAAGCGGAGACAGCGGCACGATGGTGGCGACACGGGCCATGGGCGCTTAAACCCAGTATCCCCACAATCCAGCCCCAGAGGGGCGGGTAAGGGCGTAGACCTTAGGGCGGGCACGCCTTCCCACAACGCGAGCACAACGGCTTGCGTGCGAAAAAGAATTCCCGCGGCGCAAGAATTTTGATTAGACTCGAGGGGCCAGGATACGCCGCGAGGAGGACGGAGTTGCGCCGAAAGGCGAAAGAAACCGCGAGAACAAGGGACCGGCAGGCGGCGGCGTCACAGGACGAGGCAGAAGAGAACGACGCGACAGAGGAGGAAGCGACAGGAGGGAGAACGACGAGAGTGGGACGACCGCGAGGTGGCATGAAGGTTGCAGCGAGAAGCGGCGAGAGACTGCGAAGAGAGATAGGAAGAGGCAGACTCCCTAGGGTGGGCGACGGCTAGCGCACCAACCACACACCTCTCCTTAAAATCCCTGTGTGGTGGCGGCGTGCCGTCCTCCCATCCCTCCCTTGGGTTGTCTGTTTTCTTTCTTTTCTTTCTTTGCAGGACACCCGGCACGGTGAACCCTGCCCAGCCCCCCTCCGTGTCGCGATGCGCTCCCCACTTTCCCGTTCCCCTGTGTCCCTGATCCTAGCCCTGATCGTCCTTCCAAAATCCTGCTCGTGCAGGTGGGGTTCGTGGGGACCTTGTCCTCCTCCCATCCCTCGTTTGGTTTTGTCTGTTTTCTGTCTTTCTTTTACCCGGCACGGGACTGGCGTGTGCGAAAAAGACCGGGTGCTGCGGCGACGCACTCCAAGTGCTCCAAGTGCTCCGCTGCGTCTCTTGCAGGACGCCGCTCTACCCGACTACCCCAGGCTGGTGAGTTCGGCGCAGGGGGCCGTCCCACAGCGCCACCTCGACCTCCTGCAGGCACACGACATCGGCATCGAGCCTCCCGAGCATGGCGACGATCGCGGCCTCGCGCTTCGGCCAGGCGAGGAGGCGAGCGTGGCGGGCCGCGCCACCCAAGGGTAGCGGCTCAGCGGCGCAACGGTCGGCGCGAGGATGTTCCACGACACGACGGATAGGCTGTGGGGCCGGCGCCGAGAGCGAGTGTCGCGAGCGCTGCGGACTCTCTTCACAGCCTTATGTTCAGAAGAAAAATACGTACAATGGCGCTGTGCGCCGCTCTGTGAGAGGTTGAGGAGCGAGCCCTGGTTCACAGTAGAGACACAAAGAACCTCGCATACGACGACAGTGCAACACTGGGCACGGGACTGGCACCCCCCGCGTGAGCACCACACTCCTCTCCTATAAATCCGTGGTCAGCAGCCATGGTGAGGCTTGTCGTGCTCGCCGGCGTGGCCGCTGTGCTCCTCCTGCTCGGCAACAACGTCCGCTGGGCGCAGCCGCAGCCGCAGCCGCAGCAGCGGGCCGGCCAGCTTGCGCCGGCCGCGCTCACCGACGCATGGGTACTCACCACCTTCACCGACGGGAGGGTGCTCGGCGAGGGCATGCACGTGCTTGGCCTAACGCTCGGAGGCGGGCCGGCCGCCTTTGTGCCGCTCGCCGGCGACCCGCTCGTCTTCACGCCCGGCCGGGACGCGCGAGGCGCCGCGTGGGCGGGCGGCGAGCCGACCGTGTTCCGCGACCCGTCGGTCGCCTTTCACGACGGCTGGTTCCACCTCGTCTTCACGACTGAGCTGTGCGCCGGCCTGCCGACGCTCGCCTTTCATTGCGACCGGCGCCAGCGGCGCGACGGCCTGCCAGCCCGCTTCGGGTACGCTCGCTCCCGCGACCTGCTCTCGTGGAGCGACTCGAGGCCGGTGACGGTCCCACTCCCGGGGGCGTGCAACGTGTGGGCGCCGGAGATCTACCTGCTGACGCGCGCGGAGGCGGCCTCGCGTGGCCCTCTCTCCGCCGACGGCCGGCTCGCGGTGGCAATGGTGGTCGTCTCAATCTCGACGCCGGCCTCGGGGAGCGAGGAGCTGAGCGACTGCCCGTGGGACTTTGGGCCGAGCGCGGGCGCCTCGCGGCACCGCCCGTACCAGATGCTCACCTCGGACTTCGAGCGGTGGACGCCTCCCGCGCTGCTGTTCGAGCCTCTCTACGCCGAGTCGGCGATCGACGCGCTGCTGTTCCGAGCGCCGCACCCGCCCAACAAGTCGGAGGCGCGCGGGGCGCCGCCTCGACCCGACCGACTCTCCGGCGGGCCGGGTGCGGAGCGGACGTACATCGTCTACAAGAGCGAGAAGAACGGCGACCCGTCCTCGCCGTGCGAGTGGCGTCGCGGGCAGCGAGGCGCCCCGCTCGGCGCGGCTCGCTGCACGCTCGTCCTGCGGCTGCTGGTCGGCCCGTCGCCGTTCGGGCCCTTCGCCGCTGCGCCGCTCGACAGGACGCCTGTCTGGAGTGACGCAATCTCGCACCAGTGCGCCGAGGGGCCCGCACTCTTCATCATGCCAGGCGAGAGGCAGCCGAGAGGCGGCCGAGAGGTAAAACCTCTTCCGCACGCCCTGCCCTCAGCACGGAGCGAGCTGCTGTTCAGAGAGAGTAGTGTGGCAGTGGGGTCGCAGGGTGCCCGGGTCGCCTCGGGGCGGCCCCACGCGGGGAGGTGGGTGGAGGGAGCCTTCCCTTAGCCCTCTCTGAGCCTCGAGCCTCCGCTATAGGCTCGGCGGCGTGGGTCGTCCTCTACGACGGCTACCGCACCGACTGCCCGCTCAAGCTCGCCGCACCGCCCGGTCAGCAAGCCTGCGAGCGGCTCGTCTCGTCCGGCCTCGACGGAGGCCGGCCGGCCGCCGCCTCTGCCTCCGAGCCCGCAGCACAGTGCACCTACCGCGGCCGGCCGGGGCTGGGCGCGCTGGTGAGCGACGATTTGCGCAGCTGGCGCGACGGCGCGCACGTCGCGAGCACCATCCCGCGCCACCACAAGCACGGCACCGCGCTGCAGCTCAGCGGCGAGGCGCTCTGCGCCCTCTGCGGCGGGATCGGGGGGGTGGCGCCGCACGCGCGAGAAGCGCGACGGCTCTGGGAGCCGGTCACGGGCATGATCGAGCTCTGCGCCCGGACAGCGTGCGGTACAAGTTCAAGTTGAGGGCTTACTGCGTTGGGTATGTGGCCTGGAGAGGGAGACGCGACAGCGCCGACACGCGCGAGCCGGCGCCGAAAAACGAAGCGGTGTGCGTGTGGAG